AATACAAAATAGGTCTGGGGATGTGGCTCAGTGGTCAACCACCCTTGAGTTCAATCCTCTGTACTCACTCCCCTGCAAAAAAAATTCTGGAAACATGAGGAGGGGAATGCAGCAATGATTATTGCATGTAGAACACAGGTATGCTGGAGTTGGTTGTGCGGTATGCCATAAATAAATTATTTGCTTTGTAATGTGCTAAATAAAAAATCTTATAAAGGATATTTAAAAAGTTGTGAGATTCAAAGTTATAATAATCTCACTTTCACTTGCAATATAGGTTTTCTTCCACCAGAAAGTAGTCCCATAACACCTCAGTTGTTTGGAATTGTGTAACTATAGGAGTATGCCATTCGTTCTGTATGTGGAAGAGGTAATGCTACGTGTTTACTAAATTCCATTTCATTTTCTTTTTTCTGGACATCCAGAAAAAGCACATTTCCAAGTTTCCATTGGCATTAACTTGGGCCTGTGTGATTGAGGTTTGGTCTTTAAACCCTTGTACACATGGTTTTGAACCTTCTTGTCTATTTTATTGGCTATGTGCCCAACAGAAATTACAATGATCACCAATTTTAATGAAAAATTTCTATTAGCTATGTTAGCCAAAGAAAAAGAAACTGGTAAATTTTTAATAATTTTGGTATATTTAATTTTATAATACATTTAAAACATTATTTCAACATTTGTAAACATATACATTAATGACATAGTCTTAGTATTTTAAGAAATACTAAGTTTTTGAAATCAAGTATCTATCCTACAACAGAACTCAATTAGGATTAGCCAGATTTCAAGGGCTCAATAGCCACAAATGCTTACTGGTTATACTGTATTAGACAATGCAGTTCTAATTGAGGGCTACTCTGAGAAGGCAGAGCCTGTCAGCCTAGGTCCCTGAGTAGAGCAAAACTCACTGAGGACTTCTTTTAGACAGTAACAATCACACAAATTAAACTTTGTTTATTTAGACATTGTTGCAGAAGCCCTTAATTATCTGCCCTTAATTGACTCCTCTAAAAGTTTGAGAGATGATGAAGAAGTAACACAGGCACCAGTGGGAATCTTATTATGCCGTAATCACACCGGCAACCTTGGACCTAGAGAGGAGGAAGAGGATATGGGAGCCATTGAGGAGGGGTTTGCCAGTTGTTGGATAAGGGGAATGAAGGACAGAGAGAGCTAGGTTTCTGATTCAGATGTTTAGGTGATGACTTTCCATTAGATAAAAACAGCAGCAGGAGCTAGTTTGGGAGCAAAGTGTAGTTTTTGTCTTTGTAGACTTTGGGGTATCTCTGGACTCTTGGTTCAAAGTTCAGATCAGCACTGACTTCTATGTGCTAGGTCAAGTGTTGATACTCTGCTCTCAAAGAACAATGAACTAGTTAAATATGTAAAACCAACAGTCTGTAAGAGTAGTGATAAAGGAAATTCACAATGCTCTTGGAGTGCAGAAAAGAGAGGTCTGATCTAGGATAACAGGGAATGATATGTCTTAAGGCTTTTATGAGGAGATGATACCCAAGTGGATGAACAAAGTGTTGGGTGCAGGGGAGAAGAGAGGGCAGGGCAGGAATAAAGGAACACCAGGGGACAGGCTGGGAAGACATTCAGGGAGAGGGGACCACATGACACAGGCACTGAGGCACTGAAATCAACAAAAGCATGGTGGTCACTATAAGAACCTAACTACAACCGGAGCATGAAACGCCAGGGAGGAAGTGGCATGGGATAAAGCAGAAGAGAGAACAGGGCAAGATCACAGAGGGTACTTTCTATTACATTTAACTTTGTGCCATGTGCAGATGTTGGGGGATGGACTGAGGGGACAGGAGCAATGGCAGGAAGAACAGATAGGAAGTTGTAGCATGAGGAAGGAAATGACAGATGAGGTCCTGAACCTGGGCAGAAAGATGTTGATGAGGAGGGAGGGAGGCCATGGAGAACTTTTGGGAAATGAAAAAATACTGAGTTGGATGATTTCTGGATATTAGGAGTGATGAAAAGGAAGAGGAAAGAGGAGTCAGGGAAACCTTGGATGACGAGTAGATGATATTGCTAACTGGGAAAAATGAAGGTAGAGTAAAAGCAAGCCATATCAGATGAGGGGGAATGTAGCAAGTGCTATGGTTTGGATAGAGTTTGTCTCCAAATATGCATGTGCTAGAAGCTTGGTCTCCAGTGTGGCAGTGTTGAAGTGCTGGGATGTTTAGGCCGTGAGGCCTTTTGCAAGGAAATTTGGTTGTGGAGGCCTGACCCTCAGAAGAGATTAATACTGTCTAATGACAATGGATCAGGTCTCGGGGGTGGGGGTGAGGGGCTGTCCTGAGAAGTTTTATAAGCAAGCTTGGTATCTCCCCCAAATCCCTCTTCTTTGGCACATGATCCTTCCATGTGATGCCATCCACTATTAAATCCTTACCCAGAGTCAAGCAGATGCTAGTGCCAGGGTCTTAAATCTCCAGAACTGTGAAATAAACAGTTCTCTTTTCTTTAAAAAGTATCCAGCCTCAGGTTATAACAATACAAAACATACTAAGACAGAAGGCAACTACCACTACCTACCCCAAATATTTCCCAGGAGAACATTCTAGTGTGAAATAATGGTTCAGGAACATGGACATATATACGTCCCTCTCTTGGTCTTCTCCAAAAACAAAACCAAAATCAAAATTTTCTTTCCACCACTAGCTTTCAGGGAAAACTAAAAATGAACAGAGTGTTTTTAGTGATGAATTTTAAAGCCTAAGGGCTTTAAAATTGGTTGTTGGTTGCAGCTGTGTTTGAATATCCTGTAGGAAGCTGGTGGGCTTAAGAACAAGATGTGAGGAACACAAAATGACAATGAAAGAATGGGGCTGGAGAAGCTGTTCCCTGGATTTGGAGTTGGGAATGAAATAGAGAAAGGCCAAAGGCTTCTGGGTAGAGCATCCTGGAAAATGAAGAGGTGAAGGGAAAGTTTTTTAAGAAGCCTGGAGCCTACAGGACTGGCTGGAGGATTTCCAGAGGCCTCCAGAAATAGGGCAAGATGCCTGCCTGGGCCATGGCTGGTGGGAGATGGTTATGAGTCGAAACTTGAAACTACTCTGGAATTGAATGTGATTCAGTTTTCATTTTACTTGGACTGATTTTTTCTCATACTTCAAGCTGGTTCTGCCCCATCAGCTCCTTTTTGGGTGCTGGGTGCATCAGATCAGAGAGGCCAGGTCCTGGGAGGGTAGTTCAAGTAGAGAAACATATTACTCTGTTGATCTCTGGTGGGCCTTAATCCCAAAGGAAGTCTGAGTTCTAGGGAGACAGTAACCTAGTCTGAAAACGGAGTCTTCTCCCAGTACTTCCTCTTTCACATCAAACTTCAGGTTATAATTCTGGGAGATTGTTTATTTTTTCTTTTTGATCATTACTAATGACATGCCATTTTCCTAAGGTCAGTATTTTATTTGCTTAAATCATTTTGGAATGCTTCTGTTTATAGCATTGCTTACTGTGATTGTCTTGAGGGCATGTGAAATGGAGAACTTGGACTTGGGTGGTTTGAGGATATTGCTGCTCAAAGGCATGGCTTGTTTGGCTCTGTAGGTGAATTTGTATACTCTCCCAAATAGGAAAAAGCTGAATTTGCTGAAGTGCACTTGTCCTCAATATCTTTGGGGGATTTGTGACTGCACACCACTACCCCCAGGATACCCAAATCTGCCAATACTCAATCCCTTATGTAAAATGGTAGCATTTGTATATAGTCTACACATATCCTTCAGTATGCTTTAAATCATTTCTAGATTACTTATAATACCTCAAAAGATGTAAATGTTATGTAAACAGATATTATGCTATATTGTTTATGGAACACTGATAGGAAAGTGTATGTGTGTTCATTGTAGATGTGACCATCAAAATATAGGCCTAACTATATTTTGATCCCCATTTGAATCTGAGGATATGGACCCCATGGATATGTCAGGCTGACTATAATTTTAATGAGGAAGAGTAAGAAAAGAGCTGAGTGTGGTAGCATGTGCCTATATGCCTGTAGTCCCATCTACTTGGGAGGCTGAGACAGGAGGACAGCTAGAACCCAGGAGTTTCAGAACACCCTGGGGCAACACAGTGACACCCCATCTCAAAAAAAAAAAAAAAAAAAGCTAGGGACATAACTCAGTGGCAGGCAGAGCATTATATAAGTGTGAGACTCTGGGTTCAATGCCCAGCACTGCAAAAGAAAGAATGAGAGAGAGAGAGAGAGAGAGAGAGAGAGAGAGAGAGAGAGAAGAAGAAGAAGAAGAAGAAGAAGAAGAAGAAGAAGAAGAAGAAGAAGAAGAAGAAACAATTCTTTTTTTTCAAAATTTTATTTTTATTATTAGAGTTTTTAACAAGGGTTTTACAGAACAGAGTTAGACTTGCCATCTGTCTTATGAAACCTCAATAATTTAAAAACTTAAGTTAATAAATATGAAACTAGGTTTAGTCTTTCTCTCTTTTAAGCCATGCCATGCACTTCTAAGAGACACAGAGGAGAAAAATCCCATATCCATCTGTAGTAAAACACATTTTCAACTACCAGTTAATGCTACCTACGATTTCCCTAGGCAGAGCTAATAATCATAGTCTTTTATCTTTCTCAAAAGATTTAAGAAACATAAATAGATCCATAAATAAAGGTCTAACTTTTTAAATAATAAAATCCCCTAGTCTTAAATCTTGTCCTTTTAAAAAAGAAACACAAAATAAGATAGGCAATTAATAAAATGAAATCTTACGCTCCAAAGTTATCTTAGGACATATTAAATACATAAATAACTTAAAGACCTTAGAAAAGCAAACGAGAAGTACATTGTATCCATTCTAAACCTTTCTCTTTGGGGAAAAGGAAGGCTGATTTGGGTCCCTTCTCTGAACCAGTGTTACCTCCACAGGGTCAATCTGATGAACTGTTTTAAGAACCTTGAGTTTGGCCAGAAAACCTAACTGCTTCAGGGAGACCCTTCAGGACAGACCCAAAACTCTTAGGCCACGTGGCGGATGATGGGGGTGACGCAGGTGCAGCCCACAGCCACCACCATCTTCTCCAGCCGGAAGGAATTGGGGCAGTGCTGAGACTCCCTTCGCAGGACCAGGATCTCTTGCTGGATGGGGACGGAGTTCATGTGGTGGTCCACCTTCCCTTCAGCAGTAATACAGCCCAGGTGGCGGCACTTTGCCTCCCAGATCACAGGGGGGTATCTCTCAGGGTCCTCATTGCGGCTGCAGAGGAGACAAAAGCCAGGATGAAAGTGGATTATCAGTAAAGTAGGAAGAAAACCAAATAGTAACAAAGGAGGCAAATTCACAGGTGAAAAATTATAGGCTTGGCAAAATCTCTGAAGGATGTTAGTTTAAGGAAGAACTTTTGGGGAAACTTGGATTTTCTCTCTTTTTTTTTTTTAACTTTTCAAAAAATTTTTGCAGTGCTGGAACTTGAACCTAGGGTCTTGCATATGCTCTACTACTAAGCCATGACCCTTAGCTCTGAAATATGGATTTTCAAGCATATGGAATATTACAGAAAAAAAGACAATGGTCCAGTTTTTCCTAATTTCTTTGAAGAATGAACAAAGTAAGATAGACTGAGACCATAGCAAGGATTTAGTTTCCCACAAAGGATACATTTTCAGAGTACATTTGATTGAGGGGGGAAAAAAAACAAGGGAAGAGTAGGCTTAAAATCATCTAGGAGCTGTTTGTGTGACTTGATGAAATCTACCCCAGTGAGAGGAAATGCCTCAGAATTTTATCTAAGAGCACTTGCATAGGAAACAGCCCAAAGATGACAGGAAGGATTAGATACAAAAATTTTCCTCTATAACTTTCTCTTCTCTCTCTCTTTCATTTTTTTTATCTCTTGAATAGATTATTTTAACTATTCTTAGTAATAACCAGAGGAGAATAAATCCTATAGTCAGGTGAGACTAAAACTGAGACTTATTTGCACAAAGTCAAATTATCAAAACACATTGCATTTCATCTTTTCTGGGGTCTGAATAGTAGGTATACTAAGGATGTAGCAAGTGCCATGTGTGGGGGTGTAGATCAAACTATCTAACTCAAACAGGAACAGAAGTACCCAACATGATTCTTTCTCCACTAAGATTCAAGCTGTATTTCCCCAGTGCTCATATAACCTCTCCCCAAGGACAAGCACAAACATCCTAGATAGTTATTAGTTATTTTCAACATGTTTTCTCAATTGTGGGTCTGGCCGAAAGAATTCAAACATTAATCCCCTATCATAAAAGTCTAATTTTAAAAAATTGACCAGTGGCTCAGGAGGCTAAGGTAGGAGGATTGCAAGTTCAAAGCCACCCATAGAACTTAGTGAGGCCCTAGGCTACTTAGAGAGACCCTGTCCTAAAATACAAAATAATAATAATAAAAAGGTCTGGGAATATAGTTCAGTGGTTCAGTGTCCCTAAGTTCAATCCCTGGTATAAACAAACAAACACACACACACACACATAATTTAAAAAATGAGAAATAGTTTTGAGGTCTCATAAATATTAGAATAGTGACTATCATTAACTTGATTTGATTTTTGGTGTCCGTGACAATGAAATCTAATAGGCTAGGTGTTAAGGGGTGGGGTGTCCTGTGCTGTCAAAGAAGTCTGTAGAATGAAAGTTGGAAAATTACAGCTCAGGACAGTGGGCCTTTTATGGATTTCTGATTCTGAGTGAATAAAGTCATGCTCTAGGTGACTTAGAACAGTCTGGTGCATGGGAGAACTGAAGGATGCAGAGATTTTATCCTTACGTACTGGAGGTTCCAGGGTGAAGTGGATCGGTTGTAGTAGTTGGAAGGCCTTCTGGAATTGCCACTGGGGCTAAGGATGTTCAGGTTGAGCTTCACGTTCTGGAGGAAGTTCTTGTCATCAGTATGTGGGCATCCTGGGTTTTGTGGGAAGACTATTGCTGCTTTTGCTATAGCCACCAGACTCAGCAGCAGCAGCAGCAGAGACTGGAATTGAATGGAAAGGAGACAGAGATAGATTTTTTTGTTGATAAATTCATTGTGATGATAATTTTTATTGCTAGTCATAGGAAGCATACTATGTTCTGGGAAAATCCATGTGAAAATTTCCAATCATTTAAATAGATAAATAAAAGCCCTACTTAGATGAGCAAAGGTTATAGTTATTAAGACCATGAATTTTTTTACTAGTTTTCAACATTCTCTTTTGACTTAGGAAAGGTATGTTATACATATTGGCTGGCAGTAATTTTAGTAAAAATGTCAAGCCATGCCCTGTCATCAGCCTGTCAGCACATGCAACATCATCAGGCCAATAGGATAAGATATGACCTTGATTTTCAAGGGGGAAATGTCCTTCTGCACCATTGTTCTCAGTCTGATCGTTCTGTGAAATCAAATGTGCACCTTGGAGAAAAGGGCTGTAGCAAATCCACATGGTATCAGTATTCATGTTAGAAATACTGTTTGTACCATTGGCAAACAGTCTACTAAAAACTGAATCCCCTTTATGTCTCCACAGGTATATTTTATGCTTGTTCTGAATTTATCATGCATTGATTCTGTAATAAGATGAAATTTCAAAAAGAATTCTTTAGGTTAAATATTTTAAAAATATTAAGTCCACTCTTTCTAAAGCAGTTATTTATCTATCTAAAAAGAATAGTTTTGATGTACCAAGAAAATAGCATAAAATAATAGAAACAAAGGTTGCTCTCACAGTTTTTAAGGCGTCAGGGATAGCAACCCATTTTACTATGGATTAAAGAAAAACGTTGTGGAAGAACAATATTAAATCACTGTATTCAGGCAAACAGACTGTCAACAAACATTTATTTTACTATACAGCATCATATCACACTTTTTGTGTGGTTTAGCCCCAATACAGACATCTTTCAGTTTTAATCTCATCTTTCAAACTGATGTGTATCAATTCCTGAAAATGCTGTGCAGTTGTCTACCAAAGGTTTCATTTCCCATCCTACATATGCTGCATTCATGGATCTCCATTGTTAGAGTCCAGCATTTTGCATACCACAGTCCAGAAATCTGGGCTGATCCAAATCAGCAAGTGCATTGCATATCAAGTGCAGAACTCACCATGGATGAAATCCTCGCAGGAGACATCAGTGCTTCTCAGTGATCAACTGGGGCTGGATGAGCTGTGCCTGCTGTGAGATGGACAAAGTGCAGCACTGCGTTCTCTCTTTTTATAGGGCTTTGCTCCTTCTGTGGTCTCTTACGTTGGCGTCTCAGAGTGGGTTTGGGGGTGACACCATTTTGGTTAAAAGTTCCATCCTCAAATGAGGTCAGAGAAGCACCACCACTTCATGACGGGTAGTACCTGCTTCTGAAGGAAAATGGGAAGGGCAGAAGTTCACTTCTAAAGGCTGCACATCCTCTCTTCATTCTTCGAAGAACTACTACGGGGTTGGCGTTGAGCAAAGATGCTTTGCCATGAGTCAACAGCATGTATTTATGGAGATAGCTGAAGCTGCTGTAGAGCTATGCTCTGTTTTAATGGCTCATGGGAAAGTAGAAGTTTGACATAGCATCCAGGCCTTCTGATATCATGTACCTTGATTTCCCATTTGATCTCTCCTTTCCTCACCAGATTCCCTGGCCAGATGTTACAGAGAAAACTCCAGAAATTAGTCAAGGTCCTGCCATATAAACAACAAAGCAAAAAAATAATTAAATGATGATGAAATATATTATATTTAATTGAATTTAACAACTGTTTTGTTGAATGTCTATCCAAAGAACTAATAACTTAGTTAGAGACATGAGATTTACTATTAAAAGTATGTCTAACATGGTATGCTACCAAACAATTTGCTAATATTTGGTGATTTTTTTTTTGTGGTGCTGAGGATCAAAGCTAAGACCTTATGCTTACTAGGCAAGCATTCTACTGCTGAGCTACAGCCTCAGCCAAATATTTGGTATTTTGAGATTTAAACTTATGTAATTCTTTAAGGAGGAGTGAGATGGATGGAAGAATAAGGGAATCTGGCTGGATGAAGTGAGGAGGGAATTGAAAATGGATATGGAAACTGAAGAAAGTTAGAGGTACAGAAAAGGAGGCAATCGTGTGGAGAGTGTAATATTAACAAGAAGTGGGAGGAGGAAAGAAGAGGGTTAAGAAGGAAAGAGAAAGAAATAGCCCCTCTCTCCTTTTCTCTCTCAGTGAGATGACCTCTGACTCTCGTCCTTGAGAATTGTTCCTCCTTAGGAGTAGAGGACAAAGTCGATAAAGAAGGGGACCAGTGGATACAGATGTGGCTGGCTACCTGGTGCTCTTCTTCTTCCCCTGCCACCAGTTACGGGAGCCCTCAGGAGGGGTCTCACATTCAGCATGGCAGCACGGGAAGGCTGACTAGCTATTCCAGCTCACTGCTGGAATGCCTAAGTTTGCTGGATTCTGGGCCTGTTTGTTCTGAGATCCATTCCTCCCTGCTCTGATCTATGCTAAAGCTACTTTTGCAGACAGTATCTTCCCTTCTGTCTCCCAGAGCACTGCTTTCTCCCTTTCTTCCTCCAGTCTCAGGATATAGTAGCCTCTTTCTGACACCAGTCTCAGTCACCAGTATAAGCAGTTCTGGGAATCCAATGATCTCTGCTATAAATGCTTGAAATGGCTTCTGTTTCCTAGCTAAATAGATCCTGATGGATCTATGAGGGAGGCCAGGAGCAGCTGAGTTTCCGTGGTGATGGTATATACACTTGTTAGGGCAAACAGATACAGATAGGACAGGTAGGATGCAGTTTTGACTGATTTCCCTAATTCTGGTATTGACACCACCATCTACCCACCCTTGAAGGCAGGGCTTACTGTGAGCCCTCCTGTCTCTCCTCCGGTGTGATCAGCCTGATCTCTCACATCAACCCCCTATTCCAGGTCTGCTGCTGATCCTCCAACTCAGACTTTTACCTGTTGGGACTGTTTGATTAGCCACTTTTGCATTTCCCAGTTGCTATCCTTAAATCATCTTCCACATCCCTGATACAATGATTTTCAAAGTGCAACTCTGCATTTATCTTCTTCTATTAACTTGCATACTAAATGAAATGTGAGTTTAGCACTCGAATTAGTATAAGAGTTTGTGCAAACTTCTTTTCTCACCTCATCTCCTCCATTCTTCCTGCTGGGGTGGATAGGAGTCCTGATTTTCCTCTAGGTCTGTTTCCAAAGCCTATATACCTTTTGTTACAGTACTGTCTCTGAAATTTCTTTCCCTGTCCTCAGTATATCAGAATGCTGCTTGTCCTTTAAGGTACAGTTCAAATGTTTCTTTTAGGTCCAGAGGTCTCCCTGATGACCTTGGGTGGAGTGGATACCTCCTTCCATTGTATGTAGCTTATATCTACCTCTCTAGTAACTTCTGCTTCATTGTGTACTGTGTATATTTGGCTTAAAAAGTGTGCTTGGGACATACATATATTTCCAATTTTAGATTTTATTGTAAGCCTTCAAGGACAGTGTGTAATTTGTCTTTGTAACTTACATCTTTCCCAATGTAGCCCTTTATACAATGTGGCTCTTCACAGATTGCTTTAGTGTTTCTTATTCTTCTCTTGTACATGGCAGGTCATGCATATTCAGATTGCATGTCATTTATTTATATACAGAATTTCTTGCTAGTGTGCACCCCTGAGCCCCTCTTTGTATCCCTTAGTATAGTGTCTAGTGAACAGTGTCAAATATGGTTGATAGTATGGAAAACGTCATTTCAGAAGTTCAGAATCTTGTTTCTTTTTAGAGCCCTGGTGCATTCCAATGACCCCATGAGTTGTCTAATGCCTTGGATCTCTATCCTGATCCTTTGAAAAGTAGTGTGAGGAGGTCCTTGCCTATTCTGACTCCCTAGTGCGGCAATTACTTCTTGTTGCTTTCTGGCAATAATGAGGTGGGAGGGAAAATGTGAGCTGCCAGTTCCTCTGGTTGATGGGAGGGGGGAAAAGCTGACTTGAGCCATTCTCCCCAGTCCTGCCTCCTGTGCAGATGACAACCAGCCTGTGAGCCATCCTTTGAAATATCAGTCCTTGCTTTAAAATAAGGATGTAGAAACAAGATGGCTTTCACCTTATGAAATGATCATTTTGAAGTGATGGTTGGAGCTGGGTGTGCCAACCTAGAGTAAGTGCTTATCTTCCAGGGGAAAGCTTGAGCTGGAAGCCTTAGCCTCCTTGGAGAAGAAATTAGAAGCACAAAGAGGGTGTGCAGAGTGGAGTGAGGCCCTTTCTCTGTGTGTTACATAGGCAGTGGCTCAGGTTTGGATCCTAGTCCTTTGAGAGTAGAAGAACTCTGGGCTACTGAGAACTAGTGTTCTTAGAGCCCTGGATGGGAGAACACCTGTGTTTTCATATGGTGTTGCCTCTTTGAGACTTAGTTTGCTTTTTTGAGGCTTAGTGTTCCACTTTATCAAATGAGGTGTTTTTTTTTAATTTTAATTTGGTAATGTTTGCTTGTCGATGATTTTTTTTTGGAGGAAGTAAATAGTAAAGAATAAATGGTAGAATACATCAGGGATGATAATTTTACTTAGTGATTATCTTCAGGTGTATCAGTATTGCTTCTCTTAGGGCTTGAAACACATGACCATAAGCAACAGGGAACTGTTTGGAGTTTGGAGCCAGAATTGGGGGCTGGCAGAGAAGGTGCTCAGATATTCCTCGCACCAAACACGTATTTGAAGCAGTGATAACTGTGAAATGTTTTGTGGGCTTCTGGATTCAGGGAAATGATTTTCACAGTCCCTAAAATTATCAGGTCATGTAACAGATAATAGAGCATAATGCAAGGGATAGAAGTCTTTTGTCTCCATGTGGTTGAAAATTAAGACACTGATAGAACTTAAGTTGTATGAAATTTTCATGGTTTATTAAATAGGAAACACAGAGAGTGTGACCTTTCCAGGCTTGTGTAACTCTATTGTGTTTCTTACGGCTGTGCTCTGAGGGCCATGTTGAACATGACCTGGTGGACAGGCCTGCCAGGGATGGATATGGGATCCATTTGGAATCCCTGTGGAGGAAATTCCCTCCCTTTCGTGACATGATGCAGTGACATGATGCATTAAAGGCATGAGTAGCAAGGAGGGGATTTGAGCAGAATAGTTGTCAATGGGATGTTGGGGGCTGAGAGGCAGAGGGAGTCAGAATGCCTTCTCAACATTCAGGTCTGTTTTGTCGCCAGCTGGTCTTCTAATTCTTGGTAGGTGTCGGTCTGCCCCGATGGAGACCAGCAGGAACAGCTTCTTTGTGTTGGTACTTTTCTTTTTTCTATTAGTTTTTGAGGTTTCCCTTACCTAGTTTAGACCTTTTTTTTTTTTTTTTAATTTATTTGAGCTTTATAGTTATACGTAGTAGTTGGGTTCATCCTGACAAACTCATATATGCATGGAATTTGATTTCAGTTCATGACCCTTTTTTTCCCTCCCCCTCCTCCTTCCCAGCTCACCTCCCCTCTCCCATTCTCCTTCTACTCTACTAAACTTCCTTTCTCTCATCTATTTATTTATATTTGATTATAGGCCAGACATTTTTATTTGGTGGAGATCTCATAGCTATTCGGACATCTTTAAAAAACAAAACTAGTCTATATGGCCAAAGGAACATTGAACAAACATTACGTCTCGGTGAGGAGTCTGGTTGGAAGGCGCTGTGTCCGGGACAAGTTTTGGTAACGTGCCAGGCTTTCGCGACTTGCGTAATGGAGGCTTATTCTTAACATATTCCCTTTGCCATCCCCAAAGCATTGAGAAGCTGAGTAAGAGGTTAAGCTATGCAAAAAGGAGGATGCGTCACATCACGTCATTGTAAAGCAACCACAACGCATCAATGTTTTCCCATCCCTACATTAAAGTCTACAACCAAACTGACCATGTGAGCATGTCAATTTCTCCTCTGAGTAATGCCTACTAACCTAATGGAAACCAGGCCTCTTCCTTAAGTGCGTTTCTCACTAGTCTTTTACTGAAACACTGATTTAAAGTGGGTCAGAAGGCTTTCCATTTTTTTTTTTCAAGCAAATATGCTTGGAATCATATACCTATGAGTACGTTATCAGGTATATGCAAATATGTTTTACTGGTGGCCTTCCCTTTGGTAATGTTAACTCCATT